CACCGAGGCCCGGCCGGGTGCTGCGGCGAGCCGGCAGGCACCCGGCTCACCCGGCACCAGCCTAGGAGCAGGAGCGCAAGCATCGCCGCCGGGGCGCCCAGCGGAAGGCGAGCCAGCACCACATCAGCCTTTACAAGGGGACCATGCAGCGGCCGACGGCGGCGTGGCTCACCCGGCGCGTGCCCTGACCGAAGGCCACCCCAGCAGATAGGCATGCCCCAAAAAACCCACTCATGCCAGGCCTGGACACAACCATGGGCATCACCAATGCAACAACGGGTATTTCTCCAAGCACCTCATTTTTGTCTCCCGTATCTCACAGATAATTGCAGTGGTTGAAGCTACTTTGCATTTACTTGCTGGCAGCCAGCTATAACCCACCCATTACTGCAGCTCGGTTAACCAGCAGCAACTCAACAAGCCACAGCGACGAGCCTGCTGGTGACATTGCCTGCGAAACGGCGCACACGGCAGCTTCCCGGTGGTAGGACAAGTGCTATGGAGAGGGACCCCAGCCCTGCGGGGACAGTGCTGGCAGGGGAGGCACAGAGGGAGAGGAGATGCCTCCTGCTTCTGCATCCAACATCCCAGCTCCTCGCTACCGATGGGGAGGCACCACCAAACTGGCCAGAAAATAGGTTAAACCCACCCAAAAGGGGCTCTCAGAGGAGCAGTGGCAGAGGAGAGGACAGGCAGGAGGCAGCTGGCAGCACCGCTGGGACTGGGAGCGGCCAGGGGACCTGATGTGACCACACTGGGGCTGGGCCACAGCACCAGTGGCATCCCCGGGGGCAGAAGAGGTGACACCTCCCGGCTGCGGCAATGGGCTGGCGCCAGCGCCAGGCCACGAGCTGCAGGAAAGCCAGAGCACATCTGCAGGCAGACAAAAGGAGGGAAATGCCCCACGGGGCGAGGCCGGTGGCGGCACCTTCCCAAGTGCCGTGGGCACGGCAAAGCCCAAACACGGGCAGTGGCCGCCCAGGGGCTGGCATACCAGCTGCTGTGGATGCTGGCCCAGGGGCGGGCATCCCCGCTGCTGTGGATGCTG